GGAGTAGTTAAAAGGAGTTACTTCCAGCAACAGTACTTTGAGAAAACCAGGTATGATATTTTGGAAGTGCATTAGGAAAAACACTGCATCTAATAAAATACAGGAGTCTAAGGTGAGTGTAGGTTTTGTATTTGGAGTAAGTAGTTAGTTACTGAGCTCACGCTGCATTAGAGTATAAACAGAACACAAACAAACATAAACATAAAGTAACTTACGGGTGAGCAAACACCGTGCCAGAGGTTCAGATAGAACACAAACATACATAAAGAACATAAAGTAACTTACGGGTGAGCGAACACCGCGTTAGAGGTTCAGACAGAACACAAACATACATGTAACGTAGATTACAGGTGAGCTAATACAGTAACTAAGGCACCTCCAACTATATGAAAAAAAAAAAAAAAAAAAAACTATAGGCATGACTGATATAAGATAGTACTGATGACAGGAAGAACACTCCTTCTAACCTTTGCTTAGAAAGCAAATCCTGCAAGGCAGCAGAACATGGAACAGGTTGCACTGGGTTACATGTTACCAGTAGCAGGATGATCATGAAGATCATACTCCTGACCTGACATAAGTTTAAATTGGATTCGATTAAAATAATTGATGGCTATGAACTGTATCAGGCAGATAGAGATAGAATTGGAGGAGGTGTTGCCATTTATGTAAATAAAAGACTTACAAATATAGAAATTGTAAATGTGCATCTTAACAACAAAGAGATCGAACAACGAGAAAACTACGAGAGAACGAAGAGAGAACTATGAGATTTATTCATTAAAGTATTAAACTTTAAAATTACTAAAAAAGTTAAGTGTACATAATAACTTGGCTACCGATTGTATATATATATAGTGGGTAGCCAAGGCCTTGTTTTAAATAACAAATGCTTAATGCATCAGCTTAATGTGAATTTAACATCATAAAATTCTCTTTATCTTTTTATTTTTTAAAGACATTAACTTTTTCAAATTACTGCAATAACATTAAGATTACCGCAAAACAATTTAAATATTGTTTTTTTTTTTAATATTAAATGTTTATTTCTTTCATTTTTTTTTTAAGCTAAATAATTAAATTTGATATGAAATTAAAAAAAAAAAATTTCATGTAAAAAATTATTTTTCCTCAACATTTGCATAAATGAATTAAAATATGTTAATTAAAAAAAAAAATTAACATATTTTTTATTCATTAAAAAAAAGTTTATTTGCACATTTTTCTAATCATTAAAAAAAAATTGCAACTAAAAAAGATTTTTCATTTTTAAAAAATTAGAGAGTAACATAAAAAATTTATGTTAATTTATCTACTTTTATTTATTAAAAGTTTATTATTTTATAAACGATTTTGTTGTGAAAGCAAAGATTATTTTTCCAAACAACATTTATTAAAAAATAATAGCTGCGATTTAACTTGCCATATATATATATATATATAAAAAGTTTAACTTACATTTTGTGCAAATTTTTGATGCAGCCATTTATTTAAAATTTAATTTTGAGTATTAAAAAAATGTTTTGAAAGGAAAACCGAATAAACAATTGCGATAAAAATGAGCTAATTTTCTTTTAAAAACAAATTAAATTCAAATATTAGTAATATTTAAAAAAAAAAAAATGACAGTTAAGTTAAACCCAAGCAAATTAAACTTAAATAAACTCAAATATATTTTTTAAATCAAAATTTGATTATATATTTTTTAAATCTAAATTAAATTAATTTTTTATAAATAAAGCATATAATATATATATATGTGTATATATATATATATATATATATATATATATATATATATATATATATATATATATATATATATATATATATATATATATAAAACACAAAAAATATTACATTGTATTTGTGTTAATAAGATATAATATTTAATATTAATAATTCTGAATGGGAGGTAATCCACTGGTATTTAGAGTGGTAGCCCTCCTATAAAGATCAATTCAACATCAAAGAAGTAATCTACTAGTGTTTGTAGTCATAGTTTCTATTTCATTTCATTGGTGGAATTCGAGGATTGAGATATGACTAAACTCGCTGACCAACAAATGAATTGTATGGCTTTGATGAATAACAAAGCAATTGAATTAAAGGATGACTTTCAAGTGAAAATAAATCAACAAACTAAACTATTTAAAGTGAAAACAAAGGAAAAAGATGCAGAAATAGCTGAACTTAGCGAGAAAGTTAAAAGACTAGAAGAAAAAAATGCAAGTTTACCACCTTCTAGTTCAACTGCTGTTAGTAACATCTAAATTGCTAAGCAATTAGCCAAATAATGCTACATAATGTTAGCATCAAAGTGTCAAAAAGTCATGAAATATTATCCATTAAAATATTTAAAAATGTTGTAACTGTTGGTTTACCTAACTCACAAAAAACTATAAATGAGGATCATAAGACAGGTGACGAGAACATGGTCAACGAATCAATACCTTTGCTGAACAGACGAATAATAATAAAATCAACATTCAGATGAAAATCTAAAGTTCCCTAGGTAACAATGCATCAGAACCATTAGTTGTCGAATTTGAGAATGAAGTAGCACGAAACAAGATGCTGGCTGCAGCAAGGGAACTGTCAACAATTTAGGCATACAAAAAAGTATATATATGGTCTGATCGCACTCCTGATAAGCAGGCTGAATTTGCACAATTAAATAAAGAGAGAAAGAAGGCTAATAAGGACTTGAAACACAATAATAACCTACACAAGCCCTTTCGATTTGTCATTTTATGCGGAAAATTACTGTGTATCGACGTCACTACAACAAAAAACATTGGCAACCACAAAGTTCACCCATTTGTCAAAGAGAGCATTGCCAAACAGGCCCGAAGGGGCTCATCAACCAGTCTTATATTTTACCAAAATCTAAGTAATGTAAAACTTCCTATTTATTTAAAGCAAAATAATAATACTAACTATAAACCAATTAAGTTTTATTACACTAATGCTACCTTGTGTAACTCTAATAAATTATCTGAACTGTCCACACTTGCTTTGATGTTATTATATGGATGTTATTGCAATTACAGAAACTTGTTTTAAATTAGATTCGATTAAAATAATTGATGGCTATGAACTTTATCAGGCAGATAGAGATAGAAGGTGTTGCCATTTATGTAAATAAAAGACTTACAAATATAGAAATTGTAAATGAGTATCTTAACAGCAAAGAGATTGAACAAGTCTGGTGTTCAATAAAGTGTAGTAATTCTTGTTTAATAATTGGTTGTATAACCACCAAACTCTAGAGCTGATTACTCAAAATTGGTTCTAGACTTAATCAGACCGCTTCAAAACTTAAAAGTGGAAAAAATACACTAATCTCATAGTGGTAGGAGATTTCAATTTCCCTAATATAGAATAGATAAGTTTTTCTTTAAAAAAGGTAATTTTTTTCAAATGAATAAATACTTGACAAGTTAACTGGGTTGAGCTATTTTATGAAAAATCAGCCTGTGAATGTAATGAGTTATTTTTGCATACATATAATGAATCTTGCAAAAGTTAAAAAAGTAATAAAGATTGAACATTCTATATTTTATTTGAATTTGCATCGGCAAAGTCAAGAATCTTGAAGGGCTTTTAACAAAATGTGTGTTAATGTTAAAAAGCAAATCAAAAGATCAACTCGAAAATACAAAATGTATTTAGTACAGAGAGCAAAGCTTGCACTAAAACTTTTATTCTCATACATAAATAGAATACAAAACGTTAAATCGCAAATTAGAGCAATCAAGAATAAAAAAGATCAAGTTACAACTGAAATATCAGACATTTCATACTCAAACCGAATGCTAAGTTATGAGAAACGCCTAGTTAAAATGGATTTAACTGCTTTAAATCTCAGAAGAAAACAAGGAGACCTTATTCATTTATAAAATATATTAAACCATTTAGAATTTGTCAATCTTAATATCAAACCAGTCTATAAGTCAAGCGTTAAGTTAGATGGCCCATGTTTTTCCATTAGAGGTCACAAACATAAAATCAGAATGCAGTGTTTTACTCCTCACAAAATAAATGACTTTCATGCATCAGTTAGCTCCAGAATCCATTTCTTTACGAAATGGATTCTGAGAATTTGAATAGTTTTAAAGTAAGTTTGGACGAATGGCTTAAGAAAAATGAGAAAATATTTATTTAAAAGAAAATGAAAAAAAGTACTGGGCTGCTATAACTGAACGTTACAACGTCTCAGCTTGTGGATAAGATCTGCGCAGTTTACCACTAAGTAACTTTTTTCTAACTTTTTTTTATGTATTTAATAGCTGATGATTGACATGTATGGCATGAAACTTTAAGTACTATTAACAATGTTGTTTTTCATTTAAACAAAATTTAAATATTTATTGCTCTATTATAGTAATATTGAGCACTGTTTTACGTTCAAGAGTTTTTGTATTATTTTGTATTATTTTAATATAATATAATATATAAATAACTAATCAATACCTAATAGGGTTACCTCTAAAGGGTTTGTCTAATAGGTTTTTTACAAGACAGTAGCTGGATGCATTTAACTTATGCCCATTAACTAAGAGCTCCAGGGGGGTATTTTAAGTCCGAATTTACTTCTCCTTTAATTAGTTCTATATAATAAAATAACTCAAAAGTGAAAGACTTTTGTGTTATTGTATTATATAGAACTAATTATAAAAATATTGTAAAATTATACTTCTCATAAAATTATAAAAAAAATTTTATAAAAAATTTTTATAAAAAATTTTTATAAAAAATTTTTATAAAAAAATTTTATAAAAAATTTTTATAAAAAATTTTGTAATTTTATGAGAAGTATAATTTTACAATATTTAATTTTATGTAAATCAACAAAAATAGGAATTTCATTTTTTCGCAATTTGTGTTTGTGAGTTTTAATGAAAAGGATCATTATGTTAAAATTTTTTTATTTTTTAAAATTAAATTATACAGAAATAGCTGTCGAACACATTTTTTTTTAAATCAAATAATTTTAGATTATTATGTGGACATTGAGAACATGGTTTTTGCACAAATGAACAAAAAGTATTAAATTTTATCTTTTTTTGAATAGTAACTTTCTATTATATGTATACTTTTTATTTATTTTGTATTACTATTTTTTTCCTTATTACTATTATAATCATATTTTTGAAATCTAAAAACAAATTATAGTTAACTTCTTTTTGTGTATTAAATTCAAATTATAAAATATACTCTATGTATTGTATTATACTTAAAATGATAAGGTCTAGCCATTATCACTCATATAGTTAAGTATGTAAATTCTAAATTTTCAAGATTTTTGAAGTTAATATTAGAAAACAAAAAATAAATTTTGGAGCTTAAGGAATTAATTTATACTTGCGCATATGTAATTATTTTTGTAAGAATAAATCATTAGTACATTGCACAACATATGTTTCCGAAAGTTTTAATAGTTAAGGAAGCATTACTAGAATTCAACAATCAACTTAAGAAAGCTTTTTTTTTTTTTTTAAAGTTTAATAAGTAAAGAAAACAACAAGTATATAAATTATTTTTTAAAATTATGATTTTGATGATAAATACATAAAAGAGTCAAATTTTAAATATTTTTTAAATACTTCTATTAAATAGTTCATCTTTTTTTATTGTTATTATTTATTTCTCTCTCAACTCTTTAACTCCGAAAATAGAAATCTTGATGAACAAGGTTGTTAGGCAGAGAAACAAGTTAAGCGTGGTACTACCAGGGACATAGTGGGATTGAACTTGGAACTTCTTGCTTATGAGGCGAGCGCTCTACCACTACACCACTACCGCATTGTACCACATCTGTTGTATATTAGAGTAGTTTTTACTGATAATAAAAATGTCAATACAGCATGCTATTTACTTTCAGACTTGATTATCTTGTACCATTATTTACTTTCAGACTTGATTATCTTGTACCATTATGCATTCTAATATACAGTTTAGCTTTTAATTCTTTTACAAATATATTTTAAAAAAATTAAATGCATCTATATTGTTTAGAAATAAAAAAAGTAGAAGTTATGGCATCTTGCCCTACTTAAAAAAGTCTGAGGTAACCAGGTTTGTTTATAGAATATTTTAAATAAAGATATTTTTTTTACAGATAATTGATACAATGTGTATCTTACAGGAGTTATGGTTGAAACGCATAATGGAAAGTGTTAACAAGATGTGCACAGAGCTTAAAATTTATTTATCACAAAAAGTTAATAATGTTTATTTTAATTTTCATGATATGTTATATAATTAGCATGATATATACATGTAATATGTAGTAATCAATTTAATTTCATGTTTTAGGTCTTTTTGATTTCTTCATTAATTAATTAATATTTTTGAATTATATAAGTTAAAGTAATGACAATAATTTATTTAAAAAATTTAAAACTAAGGGTTTTAAAGTGTTTGCCATTAAAATGTGGATTTAGTATGAATGTGAATGTTAGTGGATTACTTTTAATTTTATTTGGTGTTTAGTTTAATATTGCACTTTTAAAATTGTTTGAATATTTTCTTTAGAGAACTGTAAGTCAACAAGTTGGTTTGGACGAGAACATCTTGAGTTTTGTTAAAAAAGATTGCAATAAAAGTATGATTAACATATATTAGGAAGGTCCATTTTTAAGCATTAGAAAAACTATTTATTTCCCTGAATTCGCTAAGGTAATGCAGGGTAACATTGACAGGTGGGTAATATTGACATGTTTTTGGTTGAGTGTTTTTACCAGTCAGCATTTGCTTTATTCAACAGTCATTTGTTGAATGAACAAATATTTTCATCTGCTTAATAAAACACAAGCATGTTATATCTTTAAGAAAACACAATTAGTATGTTATATCTTTTAGAAGACACAATCAGAACTGATAATAACTGATATTTTAATAATTCTTTTAATAATAATTTTTCAATATGTTTTCAGGACATTGAACAAAATACAAAAAACATAAATTGTTTTCTCAATTTTGTTTATCAAAATTCTTATAAAAATTAGTCAAAACATCAAAATTAGTCATATATAATATTAAATAACTAGTTAAGTTCTTTATTAGTTTGCAATATTTTATTTAATGGCTGCTATATTATTAGTCATACATAGAAATAATGCATAGCAACTATTTTGTCACAGCTAAGAAAAAGTTATTTATAAAGATTTGTCAATGTCACCCCTCTTGAATTTTTTTCTAAAAGTAGACTGTTATATAACTAATATTTGTTTTTTTCTTTGATAAATGCTCTTTTATGGTGCTTGGCAATAAGGCTCTTAGATTCTTGTTAACTAGGAAAAAATGGCAATATTAACAGGTGATTTACTGAATATTAACAGTATGTTTTATATTAATGCTGGAATCTATTAATACAAAAAAACACAAATAAACATCAAAATCTATAAGCACAAAGTTGAAAATAGAAATTTTTTTTTATTTGCAATCAAGCTCTGAAATCTATTTACTTTTATTTAGAAATATTATGGAAAAAATAAAATTAATATTTACTTCAAATAGTTGTTAACTTTATGTCAATATTTACTAGGGATGTACCGAAGCTAAGATTTTGCCAAAGCCGAAGCTTCGGCAGAGTGACTTCGGACGAAGCTTCGGCTTTGGCAAAATCTAAGCTTTGGTACATCCCTAGTAAATATTGACATAAAGTTAACAACTATTTGAAGTAAATATTAATTTTATTTTTTCCATATTTCTAAATAAAAGTAAAGTTTGCCCAAAGCTGATGCTTTTGCACTTTCCTAGATAAATTTGCTATCTTGCAGATCTAGCTATCTAGTGATAATACTATTTGCTGAAAAACAATTTATAACATTTTACTACAGCTATTATATGTACTGCGTATTGTAAATTATATGTACTGCAATTAAAAGTATTTTAGCGCACAAGGTATTTTACTATAACAAATCATCAAGGTTTTTTTTTTAATTGCACAATGTCATAGGATTTTAGGATGTAGTAATGCCTTGCTTGAACAAATTTAATGTTACTTGAAAATAAAGATGATTAGCTAACTAGTTATTAATAATTACAAATTAGAAATTGAATTAGGGTGTGAATTATAAAACTAATTTGGCTTCTCATCAACTTAATCAAGTCTAAACTTTAAAGTTATATTATAAACAATGTTTAGTTTACATTAGTTTTTACTTTGGATTATAATAAAATTACCATATAGAAATTACAATAATAAACGAAGGATGTTGTTTTTATTATACTTATTAGTTTATTACGTTTAAATTAATTATCAATTAAAAATCAGGCAAACTATAGTTTAAAAACGTATTCTTTTCTCCATTTTCAGGTAACAGCCTGTTTCTTTTGGCTTAAAATATGTTTCCTGTTGTGCTGAACAGAGGTTCACTGCTAACGGAAGAAGGAACCCAGCTAACGCAAAACGTTCAAGAACATTTGACAAACGTTGTGAACGTTCAAGCACGTTCTATGGACATTTAAGCATGTTCTATGAACGTTCATAGAACGTTCTTAAACGTTCGCAACGTTCTTTGAACGCTTTGTGCTAGCTGGTAGCGCACAAAATTTTCATTGAGAACCTTACCAAATCCAATTTTTTAGTGTCTTTATCGGAGCAGGTGTAATTGTAAACACCCCACCACTATAAGGACATTTATTTTTTGGTAATGTTGGTAGGTTAAAGTTGAAGTTGACTTCGTCCATGTTGAATCAAAACTATGAATCAATTTAAAGTTTAAACTAATATTTTAAATCTTTAATCAAGTAAGGAAAAAAGAATACTATTAATCAACTTATAAATAAACTTTTTTAATTATTCACCTCCCCAAGGCATTAACAACAGTTTTGATTCCAGTTGATTTGTCCCTAGCATAGTCAAGAAATGGTGTGATCTCTGATTTGTCTGCTCTTACCTTTTGTAGCGCTTTCAAAGTGTTTTAGTATACATACAATTATTGCAGCATGCTGCTATTGATTTTCTGCATGTTATCTATATGTTTTCTATATGTTTTTATATCTGCATTTTCTATATGTTTTTGAGTGGTGATTAGAAATAATTTTTCTAGCGTACGTTTCAAGCACAAAAAAACTAAATACAAGTTACAGTGAAAATAGGTTTTAGTAAATATAACAGTGGAATAAAATTAAACATAAAACTTAAATAAAATATAAAAAAGTACCCATTAATTTTAATAAGCAGGCACACATTTTAATTTTGATAAGTAGGCATGACGTATACGTCAAAAAATCAAAGTAAAGGAGCACATTACAAGTAGTAGAATTTTAATAACTATATCGTAAGCAATAAAATTATTTTATGTTTAATATGTTTAAAAGTAGCATATTACCTTTAATTACCTAAAAAAACTTGCCGAAGCCAATGCTTCGGCAAAAACTGACCCTGGGTTCGGCCGAAGCCAAAGCCAAAGCTTCGGTACATCCCTAATATTTACTGGATTTTACACAGCTTTTTTTTGTAGCTAAGCAATAATTGTAATAGATAATTAGCACATTTTATATATACTTTTAATATCCTTAAAATAATCAAAAGATAGTACTTTTGATTATTTTAAGGATATTTGCTGTTTTTTAATATTTGTGCTTTCATCTGCGCAATATCCTTTAAAATAAAATAAATTTTAAAATAAAATAAAACAAAACAAAAAAAAAACAGAATGATGTTCTTACTATTTGTATATATAAATTATATAGTATATAAAAATATAATATAAATTCCTTTAAAATAAAATAAAGCAAAAAAACAACAGAGTGATGTTCTTACTATTTGTCAGTCAATGTAGCAACACTCCTTGCATATTCTACTTGTTTTTCAGTCCATGTAGCAACACTCCTATCATGTTGTACCTATTTGTCAGTCGATGTATGTAAACAGTAAAAAAATAAAAATAAAAACATTCAGAATTTTTTTTTTGAAAAAAAAAAAGCTTTCTCTATGTTTTTAAAAACATTCTAGTCTACAATTTGTGCTTTTGCAGTTTTTTTAAAAATAAAAAAATTTAATTAGTTTCCTCAATTATATTTAATGGTTTTTACATATACTGTACTTAATTTTAACGGTAAGTTTAGAATACATAGTTCTATAAATTGTTTGTTTTTACAAAAGGTAAAAATTGATTTTTTTAGCTATAAATTTTGTCATTAATTATATGCAAAGATGTTGTGCATTTGTAAGTTATATTTAAGTTATAAAAGTCACGATAAAAAAATAAGTTAGGAATTAGGGTCAGCATTCGGCAATGCCGACCTAACTGTCAATCTAAACATGTTTGCGATCGGAAAAACAAATTCGGTTTTGCCGACCTTGTTTTGATGTTTTATGGTAAGACTTTTAAATTTGCAGACCTAATGCCAACCTTTAAAAGATTGAGGTTGGTAAATTATTGCCGACCTCAATTTTCCTAATTCCGAGGGTTGCATATATATATATATATATACATACATATATATATACATATATATATATATATATATATATATATATATATATATATATATATATATATATATATATATATATATATATATATATATATATATATATATATATATATATATATGTGTGTATATATATATATATGTATATATATATATATATATATATATATATATATATATATATATAATATATATATATATACAAAATACACATATATATATATATATATATATATATATATATTGTCAGGTTTCAGAGAACTGCAAGAAATGACTCATTGTCATTTCTTGCAGTTCTCTGAAACCTGACAGCATAATTTAGTCGTTTCTGAAAGTCTGGTGGTTGTAAAGATTGCACTAATTGAATCTTGTAAGGGTACATGTGCAAGTCTCTTTGAATGTGCTGCAGAGAACTCCGTGAGATGCCAAGTTCTTGAGAACGCCTTTGAGTGGATGTGGTTGGGTTCTCTTCAATGCTATGGCTCGCAGCTTCAGTATTTTCACGTGTACGTACTGAACGACCTCGCCTTCTTCTAGTCCTATCACTTACAGAACCATGCTCTTGAAAACGCGTCACTAAGTTCATTATTGCAGGCTTATTAGAGAGATGTTGAACATTAAAATGGCACATATACGATCTTTGCATTGCAACAATTGACCGTCCATTTTCAAAGTAAAATTCACTTATCTTCACTCGTTTATAGTAAAGGATCCATACTAAAAATTTCCAAAGATTATATTTTTTAATTCTAAAAAGAGAAATAGAAATATATTAATAGAAAAAAAGTTATTTAATTTTTAAAATGTAAAGTGACTTATGGGTTACCTTGTATATATATATATATATATATATATATATATATATATATATATATATATATATATATATATATATATATATATATATATATATATATATATATATATATATATGTATATATATATATATGTATATATATACATATATATATATATATATATATATATATATATATATATATATATATATATATATATATATATATATATATATATATATAAATATGTATTCTCTTATTGAAGAAACTACAATGAATTTTGTCATTCCTGAACACACAGTCATAAATGATGAGGATGTAATTGAAACTACAAATATTTCGATCCAAGAACACATTCCTGATTTAATTTCTGAGGTTGATGATTTATCTGAAGATGAAATTGATGTGAGGCAAATTTACAGAAAGGTTTCTCGTCATTTAATAGAAGCTGATGATACTCATATATTAGGTCACGATGTTGCTGAAACTAGGTCCCCAATAATTTCTAATTTGAAAGAAGATCCTTCAGATAAAATTATTGAATCCATGCCTGCGTATGAATTTAATATTGTTCATACTGTTTTAAGAACTGTACATCGAAAACTGCTTAATGTTCCTTCTCTTCGATCGGTATATAGAAAGGTGATTGTGTCTGAAATTGAAGAAGATAAAATCAATGTTGACATTCCAGTTCACTCAGTAATAAATGAAGAGGTTTTGATTGAAACTACAAACATATCTGTTCAAAAACACATACCTGATTTAATTTTTGAGCTTGCTAATTTATCTGAAGACGAAATCAATGTACGACAAGTTTACAGAAAGTGCTCTTACCATTTAGAAGAACCTCTTGATACTGACGTATCTGATAATGGTGTTGTTAAACCAAATTTACCATTAGTTGTTGACATAAAGGATGATCGTTTTGATGAAAGTGTTGATTCTATACCGTCACCTGAGTCTGACATTGATTACGTTGTTTTAAGAACAGTACAACGCAAACCAATCAATGTCCCAACATTGAGACAAGTTTATCGTAAGGATTTTGTATCTCTTATTGAAGAAACTACAATGAATGTTGTCATTCCTGAACACACAGTCATAAATGATGAGGATGTAATTGAAACTACAAATATTTCGATCCAAGAACACATTCCTGATTTAATTTCTGAGGTTGATGATTTATCTGAAAATGAAATTGATGTGAGACAAATTTACAGAAAGGTTTCTCGTCATTTAATAGAAGCTGATGATACTCATATATTAGGTCACGATGTTGTTGAATCTAGCTCCTCATTTAAAAGAAGATCCTTTAGATAAAATTATTGAATTGGAAGAAGATGTTGAATTGTTATGCCGTCGTGTTGTTCGAGTTTTAACGAAGGTTAAAACCCGAACAACACGATATATACATACACATATATACACATATATACACACATATATATATATGTATATATATATATATATATATATATATATATATATATATATATATACATATATATATATATATATATATATATATATATAGATAGATAGATAGATATATATATATGTATATATATATATATATATATATATATATATATATATATATATATATATATATATATATGTATATACATATATATAGGTATATGTATATATATATATATATATATATATATATATATATATATCTATATATATATATATATATATATATATATATAGATATATATCTATATATATATATATAGATATATATATAGATATATAGGTATATGTATATATATATATATATATATATATATATATATATATATATATATATATATATATATATATATATATATATATATATATATATATATATATATATATATATATATATATATATATATATATATATATATATATATATATATATATATATATATATATATATATATATATATATATATATATATATATATATATATATATATATATATATATATATATATATATATATATATATATATATATATATATATATATATATATATATATATATATATATATAGTATGACAAATATAAAGTAGTATGGTAAAGTTAAAGTTTTTTTAAAAAAGAATCCAACTTGTGTATTTTTTAAAAATTTGGTTCACAAAGATGTATGTTATTTTTAGGTAATATCAAGTTAAGGCCTGTTTACTCTGCAACAGATTTCTTTGAAGTAAATTATCATTATTGGTTATTAATGATTTACTCAAATTTTAATTGATATTAAAAACAATTTTTTTCATTTTAATGAAAGTTTGGTATAAATTCTGATTGATTTTAGATGTTATTTAGATGCTGATATCAATAAAGAATAACAACTTACGAGACAGGTTTGCATAAAAAAATAATTGATTTTTTTATTTGTTGGTCATTAAAATGCAGCTTAGAGTTTATAATGCTATATATATATAAAATAAAACCATGGGTAAAACCACAGATGTCCACTTTTTGAAAATTTCAAGTTTTATATATTTTTATGATATTTTAGTACTAAGCTATTTTAATTTAAAAATTCATGACAAAAATGTTCTAAGGTTCTATGGTCATTTAAAAAAAAAGGGTAACTTTTAAACAACCGCTGTTGTCCAATGTTTACCGCATAGAAAACACAGTTGTCCAAGTTATTTATAACTAAACCAATGATAATAAAAGCTTGTCACATGACTAACTTTTCGGATGAAGTTAACAACATTACATTCACAGAAAAACATTAAAAAAAAAAACTTACTTTATATATATAAAATTATTTTTTTTTTATAATGACAAAAATTTTCTCTTGAATTATTTCTTTTTTTATTTTAATTTATAAGGTGTACCTTTTGTATCCTAAAAAAGTAGAAAATGGACTCAATAATATTCTGATTTTTATCGTTTTAATTGTGAAGTAATTTGCTTAGATTTCAAAAATTTCCCATATGTTTAGATCAATGATCAAAGTGCCTGATAAACTGAAACAAGCATACATAGCTCTGTTGCCTTTTTTTGTTGAAAATTTAAAGACTTACTAAAGCTTAACATTTTCTGAATAAACAAAATAAGACATTATTTGATCTTATTTTATCTTTTTTTTTAATTTATTTTATTTTTCTTTGAAATTAAAATCAAAACATTTTTATTAACGTTGTGTACACAACTCATAAATAAAGCAAGTTCAAAATATTTTAAGGGCTGCCTGCTCAGCAAATACTGCTAGCATTAAATGGTGAAATATAATCCTTTGTCACAAAACCCCTTTCATTATGTTGAAACGTATTTAATGTGAGATTTGCAATTGATAAGTAAATACAAAACTATTAAAAAAAACCCTCTATAAACAATCATGTATTTGCTTAAAGTGAAGAAACTTGAAAGAAACTTCTTGAACAGTTTGAATTTTTTTTAAATATTTAATATTCTAAAGAAAATAGGTCAATATATAAAACATTAAAATATTATTATGGAGAAAACATTCTCTATACGAAAAATCCTAAAAACTTAATGTAAGTTACTAAAACTTATGTAACACTTTGTACACATACCTTTATAAAAAAACTAACAATAATTTTAAGTTAAACATATTTATTAATGGAAATACTCTTAAATATTTAAATAAGCTATTTGAAAAAAGGAGTATGTATCTTTTAAACGTTTACTCAAAAAGTAATAGTATAAAAAATATTTAATGAAGTATAAATTTGTTCAATAAAATTTACTTAAAATTACAAATATTAAAAAAATTATAGATATTAAAAAACTATATATCTTTTCAACATTTCCTTTTATTTTTCCAGAAATTTCTGGATGTTTTTTGATATTAATTTGAAAAAAAATTAATATATTTTTACATAAAATTTTACATACGACAACTTTTGCATTTAAACAAATATGTTTTCTATAATTAAAATTTTCACGAGATAAATTTTTGTAACAATTTTTTTTTTTTTTTGCTTTTTAATTCATTCAAACTTTTTTGAATATTAGAAATTCCTTTTTGTAAAAAGTTAAATAATCTAAATTCCGTTTTAAAATAATCTAAATTCCGCTTTTTAGTTAAATGCGATCAATTTTTAATAAAATAATTTTCTGGGATTTTCCGGGATTATCATAGAAAAAAAATTTCCGGGATTTCCAAAGTCAAATACTTACCTACCATGCAAACAACATAATAACCACTAACAAACTATAAACAAATAACATTATATCACAAACATACAAACACTCATATATAAAAGATATTTAAACACTTACAAAGTATAAACCCATATAACTTTAACACGTATTAACACATAATAACACACATATATAACTAAATATATAAACTAAGAAAATATATAATTTAGAAACTTTACAAATACAACCTTATTTTTTAAATATTTGTTTAATGACATACCTTGTAATAAATGTTTAACTACTTGGAAAAACAAACAATCAAAAGATCTGGTTTTTTATATAAGCAAACTTTTTCTTTCACTTGATATGAACTCTTCTTCAACTTTCTTGTCGCCCAAGGGACATAAAAACTAACCTTTTATATAGAAATTTGCTTCTAAACTGCTTGCGGGTTTGCTTTTTATTAAAAAGTAATCTTTATTCATTAATGTTTTTTTTTTAAACCGGCTAATATTGCTTGTGGGTTTTTATCTTTTTTTTAAATCTTTTTTTAATACTTTCTTTTTGAAAAATTTTTTTTTAAAATAAAATTGAAAAATATAACAACATAATTTTGTCTAATATTAATATAAAAACATATTACATATGTGGGAGGACAAGGGTGACAATGCAAATGAAATATTTGTACTTTATGTTATTTTACTTTTATATAAAAAATTTTTATCCTTTAAAAATATATGTTTCGCTCCTTTAATCCGGGAGGCTTAATAAGTGCGAACTGGCATAAGTGTGAACTAGCATAAGTGCGAGTTAGCATAAGAGCGAAATAACAATTTGCGTTATGTCAATATTTGCAATTTTATTCGGTGCACTTATGCCAGTTCGCACTTATGCCAATGTTTGCAAATTCTTTTGGCTCATTTATGCCAATTCGCTCTTATGCCAGTTTTTGTAACTGCTTTGCACTTATGCCAGTTCGCGCTTATACCAATTAGCATATATGCCAATTCGCATATATGCCAGTTTGTACTTACGTCAGTTTGCACTTATGAAATTCGCGCCTATTCAGTTGTCCTCTTTAATCAGGAAATACTCCGTTTCTTTAATAAGGATAAAAAGTTCGATTTAATTTTAAATGCCTTGACATTGCTAAATATCATGACTCTCTGTAAAGACTAAAAAGTAGAAAATAAAATATAGAAAAAACATTTGCTAAGAAGTTTAATATTTTATAGTCTTTTCTTTCAGTTAATATGATTTCTTCCTCTACTTCTTTTGATATCCTCAGGGCACTAAAAACTAACATTTAATATAAAAATTTGCTCTAAATTGCTTGCGGGTTTGTTTGTAATAGTAATATTTATTAATTAACCAATCTTTTTATTTTTAAAATAGGCTAATATTACTTGTAGGTTTGTAATTTTTTCTTAATATACTTTGTTCTCTTTTAAAAATAAATTTTTTTATTTTTAAAATTGGCTAAGATTGCTTGTGGGTTTGTATTTTTTTTTAAATCTTTTTGTTAATACTTTTTTTTTGAAATTTTTTTTTTTTTAATAAAATTAAAAAAGTAACTCACAAAGTTATGTTAACTTTGTTTAATGTTTAATATAAAAATATACTACATCTGAGGGAGGACGCGGGTTGCAATGCAAATGAAATATTTGTACTTTATGTTATTTTACTTTTATATAAAAATTTTTTATCTTTTAAAAAAAAAATATTCCATTCCTTTAATCAGCAAGTAATTTGTTTCTTTAAGATAAAAAGTTCAACTTAATTACAAATGTCTAGACAAACACATTGCTAAATATTGTAACTCTCTGTAAAGACTAAAAAGTAGAAAATAAAATATAGCAAAAACATTTGCTAAAAATATAATCTTTTTGTACTAAAAAGTAGAAAATAAACTTTTTAATTTAAATTTAATAGTTCAGTAAGCTAAAGATTGACAGGTCTGCACAAGATTTATATAGAAACATACCTGTCAATCTTTAGTTTACTGAACTATTAAATTTAAATTAAAAAGTTTATTTTTTACTTTTTAGTATAAAAAGATTATATTTTTAGCAAATGTTTTTGCTATATTTTCAACTTCTCTAGAATAAGTATTAAACGATCTTGTTCTTATAATGAATTAAATAAATTACCTGACTTTAATAGTTACTTTACTAATTTAAAAATAACCTCTCATCCTTTACTACAGAAGTTATCAAATAATAATTGTTGATCTTATTACTAATTATGCTGATGAAACAAAGTCTTCAATCTTATTACTGAATAAGCAGATATTGACAGATTATTTAAATTCTAGAGTACCTCATTACGTGAGTTCAAAGTTATAAAGAGAAGGAGCATGCTAAATCCTATTTATAATAAATGGTAAAAAAGTCTGTGTAAATGCGCACGAATGGGCAGCAGCATTAAGTTAAGCAATAACATAAAGTGATTAAAAAAAACATGTCTAAAGTATACATTAAATTATTAATAGTTTTCTTTTAAATAATGGAAATTTGGAGATGTAATGATGTAAAAAGATGTAAAAAGCTTCCGCAAAGAAAACAATCATACAGTTTAAATTGTGAACTGTATTATAATTTACTAATGTCAAATTGGCAAAATTTCATGAAAATTAGCATTAATTAGTTCCCTTCTTTTGCCTTGTTAGCCTAGACCAATGCTAGGGGATTTAAAACTGAGTTAACCAAATTTTTTTTCTCTCTTCAGTTAGTATGCTATGAGCTCATTGTAGTATTTTTCAAGTCACCATTGCATATAAATGTCACATGTTCTATTGGATTTGAAAAAAAAGTATACCATATAACCAATAGAACATTCTATTGGATTTGATTTTGGACTTTTAGGTTTTTGTTTAGAAACTTTGAAGTTATTTGTATCAAAGGAGCTTCATTTTTTAACAGTATGTTGTAAGTTCTATTCTTGTTGGAATATGAAATTTTCATTTCGAATTTTGTAGAAGGTCACAAGTTGGCTTTAAGAATATTTCAATACATTTCAATTTCAGTGATTTTTTAATTGCAAGGAAAGTTAAATTAGTAATACCACTATTTCTTAAAAACAAAGGGAAGTTTTTTTTTTTTTTTTTTTTTTTTTTTTTTTTTTTTTTTTTTTAACATCTTCACTTCCAACAAGGCTGCAAGCAACCACTATAAGAGTTGGAAGTTACTGGAAGAGAGAAGACTAAATCTGTAGAGCAAGATAACGATTGACTGATGACTTAAAAGATTGCAAATTATATGAATCTGGAAAGCAAGATGAAGGAAGCGAATTCCAAAGAACTGATGTTCGAGGAAAAAAACTAGAAGAATAAGAGTTTTTGAAGCACTTAGGAACAGTCACAGAAAAAGGATGAGACTTAATTGAATGGCGAGTAACACGAGAATGAATTTTAGTAGATGGCACAAGGGACGCTAGCTCTTTAGAGCAGTGCCCATTATAGTATTTGTAGAAAAGAGAAAGAGAAGCAACATTACGACGATGTGACAAAGGTTGGAGATTGGCTGCCAGAGCAGGTCCAACTATGTTTACAATTCGTTTTTGCACCTTGTCTAAAAGAGAAAGAGCATCATTAGAAGATCCGCCCCAGATGTGGCAACAGTATTCCATACAGGGACGGATTTGAGATTTATAGAGATAGAGAATAGAATCTGGAGTAAGAAAGTGTCGAGCTCGATAAAGAGATGCAACCTTAGCAGATGCTAATTTTGCAATGGATTTGATATACGGTTTAAAAGAAAGATCAGAAGTAAGAGTTAATCCTAGAAGATGAATGGTAGATGACTCATCTAGTACATTACCATTCATAAATATAGGAAGATCTAAATTATTACGATAACGATTGGCCGAATAAAATTGAGTTTTATCTGAATTAAAGTTCACCAGCCACTGTGAGCCCCATGCTGTAGCAGAAGTGAGATCCTTTTCAAGCTCAGATACCCCCTCCAAGCAATCAGAGAGTGTAGGCTTCTTATCATGACAAGAGTAAATAGTAGTGTCGTCAGCGAATAATGCCACCTTAGATGTGAGAATATCTGGAAGATCGTTAATGTAAATTAAAAAGAGTATAGGGCCAAGGATTGAACCTTGAGGAACCCCTGAAGTTACAGGATGTGAAGAAGAGTGCTGTCCATCGAGGACAACTTTTATACTACGATTGGAAAAAAAGGACTCAATAATCTTAAAGACGTTACCAGCTATACCATAAGAAGAAAGCTTATGGAGAAGACCAGCATGCCAAACTTTATCAAAAGCTTTAGAAATGTCAAGTGCGATAGCCTTAACCTCTCCACCTCTATCTAATGCACGGTAAAACCTATCGGTTATTACTGTTAGTACATCAGCTGTAGAACGAGAAGACCGAAATCCATATTGATGATCAGAAAGTAAGTTATTTGATTCAAGATGATAGATTAAGTGTTTGTTGATTAAAGATTCAAAAACCTTGCTTATGACAGGAAGAAGACTAATGGGACGGTAGTTAGATGAATCAGATCGCTCTCCGGAATTTTTGAAAATAGGGATAACAGATGCTGCTTTCCAGCATGATGGAAAACAAGACTCTGATAAGCACTTGTTAAATAGTTTAGAAAGTATGGATGAAAGCTCCAGAGAACACCTCTGCAAGACTACAACAGGAATGTTGTCAGGACCACAAGCTGTTGAAGAGTCTAAGTAGGAAATTACTTTAGATACAGAAGCTGAAGTGATGCGAATGTCAAGCATGGGATCAACCTGTTTGACGGCTATGTCAGGTAAAACGCAACTAGTGGAATCAAGAGATGATATTGATGAAAAGTTCTTAGCAAACAATTCAGCTTTGTCTTTAGGTGAGGTGACAAAGTCTGAACCATACAAGAGAGAAGGAATAACAGATTTGCCCTTATTATTGATATTGTTAAAGATTCTCCAGAAGTCTCGAGAGCCTAATTTTTGTGATGAGATACGAGATTTAATGACCTGGGAATAGCGAGCTTTGGTGTCAGACAAAACCTTTTTACAATGGTTTCTGGCGATAGTGAACAGATGTCTGTTTTCTGGAGAATTGTTTTGCTGATAGATATGGAAGTAACGGTTTCGATTAGAAATTGCTGCAGCGCAATGTGAGGAAAACCAAGGAGAAGAGTGAGGCTTGACCTGGAATCGTCGAGAGGGAATAAAAGATTCCATGCCAGCCTGAATCCACGAAGTTATGTAAGAAGCACATTTGTCAGCAGGAAGACGAAAGATTTCTAGGCCAAGCATGTGATTATTGGAGTCTTTACGAATTAAAGGAAGATAACCATCAACACTAAGATCACAAGATGGGACAGCCGAACTCAAATTAGTCTCACAAAGAGCAAGTAGGTCTGGTGAACTTTGCAAGAGATAAGACTCAACAGAAGAAAAGTTACTTCGAAGACCACGAATATTAGTAAATGATAGGTTTAGAGAACTTGGTGATGGCGATGGTTTTTTGTGTTTTTTAGTTTTAGGTACTTTAGTCATTTTAAATTTATAAAGAACTTGACTCAAGTATAGATAGTACTCAGTACACTATTTAACAACTAAGCAATAGCCTCATTACTATTAATAAACCCTAAGCCGTAACAAAGGGCTCCAAATGTGGCCTCTGCAATGCACACCAAAAGTACAAACAGGGACACCATCCATGCGCAACATGGCACTGTTAGTACTCTGATATTTTTCAGCTGTTGATGGAATCAGCCTCTCTGAGAGCTACCACAGAGTTCGGGAAACCTGACTACCAGCCGGCCTCAGAACCATAAAACTGAGTTTTAGAGCTGTACCCTCATTAGGAGATAATAGAATGAGTTGCCCAGTCATAAAAATAGAGACACAAGCAATACCCACGCATTGAGTCAAGAAGATCAGCGTTCAACATCCTAAACTGGAAACAATGTATTAAAAATACATCTGCGCCAGCCTAATAGATGAGGAAAGGGTGCGAGGCTGGTCAACAGATAGAATCTGTTTACCCCTTAAGTCTTTGCCTAGGAGGCCTTATACAAGACAGCAGCTGGATGCATGTAAAATCTGCCCAAGATGAGTATTTTTATCGAGACACCATCTCTAGCCTTTACTCAACCAAGAGCCCCAAGGCAGGGTGTGTTTTAATTCGGAGTTAACTTCTCCTAGCCTTTGCCTAAAAAAGCGTATCCTGCAAGGCAGCAGGACATGGAGCAGGTTGTACTGGGTTACATGTTACCAGTAGCAGGAAAACCTGACCTGACCTTAAGTTTACTGATATAATACACTTCATTCAATGAAGCAAAGTTATATTTTGACTCATTGGAGAACAAAATTTTCTTCAATATTGGCGTCTTTTTGTACTTCATAGTAAACTTCAATCAATGTTTTGTTTTGCAGTTGCAGAAAAGATTTTTTTAAACTACTCTAAAATCTTGTTCCCTGATTTTTTATTGTTTAAGTTGTCACCATGAGATTGACTGTTTGAGGCGTCTCTGTGTTGTTGATTGTTTGAAGTGTCACCATGGTGTTGTAGTCTTCTTCAAAAGTAGGTTTAGCAAAAACAATTGTGTTCAGTAGTTTTTACCAAAACAAATTATGTTTAGTAGTGTTTTAAAAAACTAGCAATTTTTTTAGCTTTTTGTTGAATTTTTTTTTAGTTTTATTACATCACTCTATATATGGCTTTCATAATGTTGTTGAAACTTTTGTTTAAGATGTTATGTGTGAAGTGAAGAGAGGTTTTCAAAGAGATTTGTATTAAAGTGTTATATTTATATTTTTCATTTAGTTCAATATAAAAGTTTTCTAAATAATTTTAATTGCAGTGTTTGTGTATTTTTTTATAACTGAATTATTTTTGAAATAATTCAGTTATAAAAAAATAGTCACTGCTGTAGTGGTGCTGTGACCAATAGAACTATTTGTTGCCTAGACTTGGATTAGATCATTTATGTAATTTATTGTGATAATGAACTTTGCAAAAAAAAATTTTTTTAAATTTTTGAACTTTTAAGAAATTAATTTTTAAAAAATTTTCTTAACTTGTTAATAGCCAAACTTTTTAAAAAATTAACTTTAAAAAAATATCCTTTCCAAATTTTATAAATTAACCTCATAGATTTTGATAACACCATTGTAGTACTTTGCAGTGCAAAGAACATCAATGGGATTATCAGCATGCTTCTCATTAAAGTTTTTTTTTAAATTTGTTATAGGGTTGAGAAAGTGAATAATATGAGAGGAGAAAAACAGACTTAAAATACTCAAAATATAAAATCAACATATATTAAAGCAGGGGCTATTCTAGACCGTTTTCTACAGGGCCTAATGTATTTGGGTGCCGGCCAAATTTTGAAATTAAGGCCCCTTTTTTTTTCACTGCAAATATCGTTTTTTTTTAGCAAAAAAATTCCTACATACGGCAAATTTCCTAATGGAAAGGCTCTGACAGAATAGCCCCTGTAAAGTGTACTTTGCGTCAGTAAGCATTCTTCTTTGAATACATTTAGTTTAGTTGTTGCCATGTTGAAGTTTCGACTTTTTTACTTCATTAATGACTTTTGATCGCAGTTTGATTTTAAAGTATATTATTTTAATAATTTTTCAATTTTTGTTTAGTTACCTATTATTTTTGAAATGTACTTAATTATAGTCTGAAGTATATCCTTTATCATATAGTGTAAGAACATCATTGTATTTGATGAAGACATGTTTACACGTTAAAGATTTTCTAGAGTTGGTACAATTGCTTTTTTAAACTATATTTTATATTTCTTTTTGTTTTAAGTTTTTGTTTCCATTTTAGTTTTGATTTTTTCATTCATTTTTGTTTTGATTTTTTCATTATATATTCAATATTTTAGAAGTCTTTCTATTCAGCTATGTATTGTTTACATCAAATGAACTTTAAAGATCAAACACAAAAAGGTAAATTAGTTTATTCAACTAACTCTATTTTTTTAATTAACTGGATTAAACTTTTAGGATAGGGTGAAAATTACATTTTTTGAAAATTTCTCTTGTTGCACTCCAAGGTTTCTTCTATACTATACCTTTAAATATCTAATGGGTCCCTAGTATTATCGATAGTTTTTTTTAAAATTATATCAACCTGGTACACAAAAGAAGCAAAATTTTTTAAAAGTTTCAAAATTTGTAATTTTATTTTGTAAAACAAGTTTAAAAAAGAAATTAAAAAAACTTTTATTAAAAATGTTTAAAAACATTATTTTTAGTATTTATATAAAATGATTACTATTTTTAAAATTTTTATAAAATTTATAAATTTTTTTAACGTGTTTGAATTTTAAACTTTTCTTCATATTATTCAAATTATTATAAGTATTTTCATAACTTTTTTTTTCTTTCTTTCTTGCGGAAAAAGCAAACAATGCCGCTGCGTGGAAAAAACAAGTTAAGTGAGGTACTACCATGGGCGTGGTGGGGATTGAACTGGGAACTTCTCACTTATAAGGCAAGTGCTCTACCACTACACCGCTACTGCATTTGGATTGATTGGGTGATTGGCCTTGTGAGATTTTATTTCATAACTTGAATCCTAAACGCTAATTAATGTAACTTTAGCACAGCTTTGATATTTACAATGTTAAAAGTTAAATTGTGTCATTAACGTATTTCAAAGTACCATGTAGTAATTAAATTTTAAAAATTAATTAAACTAATTTTACAAAACTAATATATATACTAAGATATATATATATATATATAAAACTAAAATATATATATATATATATATATATATATATATATAATAACTAATATTACAAAAATTACTGGTGAAATCTAAATTCGATATTTGAAAAGTATTATATTTCCTTGTAATATCTTAATTCATAAATAAATTATGTCAAAAGAACTCTACACGATATTTAATTAATAAGAAACAAAAAAAAATTTAAATACATTTGTGAAAAATTCTTTTAAACAAAAAAACTTCTACTGTTTTTTTGTTTAAAAGAATTTTTTTTTTTTTTAATATTTTTTATTTGCTTTAACATATTTTATTTTTAATATATACAACGAAGAGATTATGTTTTAATCTACGATGAAGAGATTTATGTTTTATGTCTAACTATTCTAGATTCCTTTGTTTTGGGTGGATGCTTTAATCGTATGTTGCAAAAGTTGCTATTAAAAGCAATTTCTAAAATGTATATGCGCAAGTAATTTTAAATAGAGAATATTTTTGAATTACAACATAAGTAATTATGCTTAGAAATGCTTACGATGAGAAATATTTTTTACTCGAATAGTTTTATTAGATTTCATTTTTTCCTTCGATTTTTTTTTTTTTTTCGAAACTAAATTCTACATTATACTAACTATTTAAATGTTTTTTTAAAACTAAATATAAGTTTTTAAAATTGTATTTAATTCAAATTAATTTGATTAAAAAAAAAAAAAAATTCTTTAGCAAAATTCACAGTTGCAATTGAATGCTTTTTTTACAAATTAATTTTTTTTGAATAAGCGTCACATAAATGATAATCAAAAGATAAATTAATTATTCCAAAATAAAAAAAGTTTTTGCGTACCGCTAAATGTACACTGCTGAATGCCTATGCAAAATTTTAAACGTAAAATGCAAACTGCGTAAGGCTTCTTAACACGACCTGAGTTTAAATCAGGTGACTGAAAAAGCCATTCCATATAAATAAATTCTTTTTGCTTTTTTTGGCCGCAATATAATTTAGGAAGAAATTTTGAAAAATAAATTCGCGACCCACAATTCTTTTTCTGCAAGAACATGAATGTTATTAGAGAATATTTTAGTATTTTTTTAATTTGTAATGGCTAGCAATTTCCTCTGAAATTTTGAACTTTGATTCATCTGTGAACAAGGCTTTAAACCATTGTTGAATTTCCTAATCTTTATGTAATTTTGCCCATTTTAATCTTAACTTTATTTAGTTTGCATAGTAATAGTTTATTTGGCAGCAACACATTAGCAACACAGTTTCAGCATTGCTCCAGGCCACCTTGAACAATGACGACTCTGATTACATCCAGCCAATCAGAGAGTGTTGGCTTCTTATCAAGACAAGAATAAATCGTAGTTTCATCAGCGAACAGTGCCACCTTAGATGTGAGAATATCTGGAAGATCATTAATGTAAATTAAAGAGTATAGGGCCTAGTATAAAACCTTGAGGAACCCCTAAACTGACAGGATATGAAGAAGAGTGCTGTCCATCGAGGACAACTTTAATAATATGATTAGTAAGGAAGGATTCAGTAATCTTAAAGATGCTGCTTGATACACTGTAAGAAGAAAGCTTATGGAGAAGACCAGCATGCCAAACTTTATGGAAAGCTTTAGAACTATCAAGAGTGATAGCCTTAATCTCTTCACAATCTAATGAACAATAAAACCTATCGGTTATTACTGTTTGCAAATCAGCTGTAGAATGAGAAGATCCAAATCCGTATTGATGATCAGAAAGTATGTTATATAGAGGCGATATAGAACAAAGAGAAAGGCGATACAGTGAAGTTGTGCTAAACAAATGCAAAGCATGCCAAGCTTGTGACTATTGGAGTCTACCTGACTACCAGCTGGCCTCAAAACCATAAAACTGAGTTTTATAGCTGTACTCTCATTAGGAGATTTTCTTGTCGTAAAACAAAACCCATGCATTAAGTCAAGAAGATCCAGCATTCAACATTCTGAACTAGAAATAATGTATTATAAATGCACCTGCGCCAACCTAATAGATGAAGAAGGGGTGCGAGCCTCAACAGATAGAATTTGTTTACCCCTTAATGACTATATAGCATTTCAGATGGTTGACTATTTCGAGTTTATCAAAATAGTTCATTTTATATAACCAGATTATAATCATCCTAATAGAATTGACTTTTTTTTGAAAATTACACACTAGACCAAATTTACTAAAAAGTTATAAGGCTAATAAAGTTACATCAGGAAAAAATTACTAGATACTGTTTACAAGTAAAGCTTTACTGGCTGTTAAAGTTTTTTTCATGATCAGACTGTAATTATAAAAATTGATGGGTGGAGTAATGTCCACAATGAGCCAGCAGTTTTAGCAACAGTAACATATATCTATCTTGCTTATATAATTGAAACATCCAGCCATTTACATACTACTTACTTTATGCTGTTAACTCAATAAATAAATGTTAAAAGTAATTTGTTTGAAAAGTTCACAAAGTATGTATAAAAAATAAGACATCAATTGGAAACTTGAGATGATGTTAATTTTATTATGCATGATTGTTCAGCTTATCTCTCAATCTATTAGCTTAAGATTTGCTAGTTTCAAAAATCAAGGAACAGATAAAATGTTAAATATTTTAGCAATAACCATTTTGCTACTACAGCATACTTAGCAAAAGGTAGATTACAACTTGTAATGACTCAAGATATCGAATCCAATACATTGGTTGATTGGCTTGAATCCTATCTAAAACACTGGTCAATTCTATTAACGATTTGTGAAGAAAACAAATCAATAATATATTAAAATATTACAAATATTATAAATTGAAGATTTATTACAATTGCTCAAACCAGTTACTGTTGCATGGCACCTGATGCAGAGTTGTACTTTTAGTGATAGTGTAATGATATGAAAATACTGGTTTGTGTAAGTTATCATTTTTATATCGTTGTAATATATATTGTTATGATTTTATAATAGTTACTTACTGCTGTTGTTTCATCTGCAGGAATTAAAAGAATCTATCATTTAGTCTTCTACATCCAAACATTAGAAATTAACTAGAATAGTTAAGAATATCTTTTGGTCTTGTACATCCAGACATAAGAAATTAACTAGAAGTTAAGAAACCAATTTCATTTACAATTTAATTAATCAGAAAGCATTGAAATAAATAAATTTATTTGATTGATTTTTTGAAAACACCTTTGCTTTTCTTTGTTAGTTTTTTTGCATAGTCAATTGTTTAGTTTTATCATAAATGTTCATTTAAGACATGCATTTATTTTGACATGCTAATATTTTGTGTTATTAAAAAATAAGCAGTTTAATAAAATTATTTGCAAAAAGTTTTTTTACTTAGAAGTTTTATGATTTTGTATTTTTGAATTTGAATTTATAATTGTATTACTGTTTTTTTTTTCAAATCTTCAGAGATTTTCTATATAAACAAATGGATGAAAAGTGAAAATGATTGGATAAAACTTGGCAATGCAGGTGAGCATTGTATTTTCTCTTCATATTTATATGGATGATAATTTGTATTAACATTAAAAATCTTATAGTATAATATGTATAAATTGTATGATCATTATTAAATTTTTGAACAAAATGATATGAAGTTATCTTATATTTATATACACATGCACACATATGTATACATATATTTGTTTTACTTGTATTTATACTTATTTCTTTACTCTTTTTAGTTATAAATAAAAAAACCTGTAGTTCAGCTCGACAATATTTAAAACAAGGATGTCCTGCTAGCTTACGTAAACAAATCTGGTTGATATTATTGAATATAAAAATTCATGATGAGGTAAGTATTTACTAATTTACTTTATCATTATATTTTGTCTAACAATTTTCTTTTTCAGTTTTTTTTAAAATAACTGTGTTTTGTAATAATTTCAACTTTATAATGAGCTCATGATAAGCTGATGATAAGCTTATGGTAAAGCTAATATTCATATTTGTATATAATTATATAATTATATTTAAATTCATATTTAATAATTATAATTAAATATGAATTGATTATATAATCATTGTAAATAGTTAATTCATATTTAATTATAGTTAAATAAATATAATTAATAAAAGTGTGTTTAACTTTGAAACTTTGTTCTGTTCTACTACTTATCTTTATTTTATTTAACAATGCGGCAGAAACTTAATAATAAAAAAAAAATTGGGTAAGCGAATATATCGATCTACCTTAGAGCTGTTAACGTATGCCAACCATGTATTTATTTCGGCATTCATCAGAGTCATATTTTACTAATGCAGAAAATATTTAGCAAAAAGTATCCAGAATATATTTTGCCTTCGTCTTGATTTTGCATTAAAATTATTAGTCTTAATGAAAATTTTCTTTAATTTTTGTATAGGTAATGAGGTGAAAAGGTTTGTCTTAAATTTATATATCTTTAAAACAAATTTATTTAAAATAAATAATATATAGTTAAATATTTAGTAAAAAAAAAAAAAAAACACATAAATAGCAAACAAAAAAAACAAACACAAATAACAAACACATTTGTCAATTTTCTTAGAAAACAATTAGCGTTGAAGACAGTGCAACTTTTGTAATGAATGTACTTTTCAAAATCAGTTATAACAGCCGCCATCTACAGGACTGAGGCCTAGCACAGCTTATTATAAAGAAAACCATATTGTAATAATTAAAAATATTTATTATTGTTAGGGACAATGATTTAACACATTAAAAAATTTACATAACTCCAAAGTAATGAGAAGTTATTAGTTTAAAAAAAAAATTGAAAACATCCCAAATAAAATAGATTTAAAAAAAAAAACTTTATTATGAAAACATTTTGGCAACAAGTTCGATTTTAAAATCAGATTCTTGAATAAAAAACCTTAATGTTTACTTAATGTTAGTAGTTTATACTATTTGTAAACAACCTTGAAATGTAATACCAAATACTTCAGAAATATATTGATTGATTAAACACTAGCTAAGCACATTAAACAATTTATCTAAAAAAATAGTTTTGAGTATAATTAAATTTAAAAATAGAATTATTATTTAGATACAAAAAAATATAATTAAATTAAAAAATAAATAATAAAGTAAAATATTAATTTTAACTTATATATGTTACCTGATTTGTTCACGTTTAAACCGCTAAATTTGATGTCATTAAACTGGCCTTTGTTATAACTCAAAAAATTAAATTAGATTTATCATAAGTAGCTAATTATATGTTAGTAGATCCTAATTTAGCCAATTACATTTGTTACAACCATTGTAACTAAGCTCATTAAACAGTAACTAAGCGCATTAAATGTCAAACATTAAAATGTAGTATTAATATTAGGATAATATTATATTGATAAGGTAGGTCATCAGACACAAACTTTAGAAATATACTTTAAGTATAACCAGAAATTTTTTATCTTTAAAATTATTAATTTATTAATTTATTTGTGTTATTCTCATTTTTTTAAATAAAAAAGTTAAATATATATATATCTTCCCATTAGATATATGTATTCTTTTCCAAAAAAAAAAAAAAAAGTAAAGTAAGCAAAATTTGAAACAAAAAAAAGGTAAAGAGAGCAAAGTTTGAAAAAATTTTAAAAATGTTGTACTTTAATAATACTGGATAATATTTTTCATGCCATTACAATACCTTAAAAACTAATTTATTTTAAATGAAAAATAATTTTGACACAATAAACATTAAATCTATTCACTAAATATTGAAAATTTGACAAAAAACACTCTTTGCATAGTTACTTTTATATTTAGTACTGAATTTCAATGACATCATAAATAAATAAAAACATTACTAACAATAACAATAACAACAATGTCAGTAATTACTAATGTTACTTTTGATTTTAGTTAACTAACCCAGTTTACTCATAAACCGTAACCCAGTTTTATGAGTAACCCAGTTTACTCATAAACCCAGTAAGATTAGAGACTTAATAACAACCAGTTATATGCACTAAATTTCTAGGGTATTTTTCAGATGTTTTTATTGAACCAGTTAATGTGATATTACACAAGCTGCTTGTGTAATATCACATTAATTGGTTTGATTAATAAACACAACACTTTCATGCTTGTGACAAGCATCTAAGATTGTGTATTAAATGTTTAGATATGGGTGTGTGACAAGGGTGTGTATGAAATAAGATTGAAATAGGATAAGATTATCAAATACATTCTTAATTTTTTTTCAGGATATGTTGTATTACTTTCAATTGAAAAAGTCGGCACTTGAATACGATTTGTTTGTAGACCATTTGCTCAGGCAGGTACTTAAATATTTATAAATATTTTCTAAAATTTATTCAGGGAATAAAGAAATCAGAAAGTTTATGCAAATTATATTCTTAAACTTTAATTTAAAAAAAAAAAAATTCTTGTATTAAAAGTTGTATAAAATGTTCAAAATAATGATTTAAAGTAGTATTAATTTGAAACTTGATAATATATTTTAGGATGTTCAATTGACAGCAAGCAACAGCAACTTGTTTTTCGTTTTTGAAGATTTGCTTTATCAAGTATCATGTTTTATGTTAATAAGTTTTTTGTGCTTATGTATACTGATTTTTTGTGCTATTGAGTTCAACTTTTATGTTAATACTTCTGAATGTGTCACTGCTTGTATTTTTTTAGACTTTGCTGGTCTTTAGTCGAGATGACTGTTTTTTGAATTATCTTGAAGAGTTATCAATAACACCATTCAAATATTTGATAAAAGGTTTTATTTTTGTTTACTTGTTTAATAATATTGATAATATCAATAATAACATTAATAATTTTATATTAAAACAATTTTATTTTCAGATAAAATAATAGAAGATAGATTTAATACATATCCACCTTGTGGTAAGACACAAAAAAAATTTTTATTTTAATTATTTAAAAATTATTTTCTTCATATTTTTTTAAAAAGTTGTACAGAATGATGACTTTTAAAAGTAAATGTTTGGGGAGGAAATATAGAGGTCTAACAGATAAAACAGTGTGCACTTAGTACTATATATGTTCTATAAAACTGTATTGTAAGATTTCTTAAGATTTCTATAAAATTAAAAACTTAAATCAAAGATTTAGTTTTTATAGAATAAAACAAAATTCTATAAAACACTCAAATCTTTATAAAACTTTATTTTCCAAAGTTTTATTTGGCCAATTTGTAAAAGTTGTTTTACAAATTGGCCAATATTTTTTGGAGTTTAATGAAATTTGAAATTACTCACCCAAGTTACTCAATTTATTCACCTGGTTTATTTATTGTAGTATTTTTTTAACATTTATGCTTTAGGTATTCTTCCATTTCATGGATTTTCCATGTTAGGTATATCATTTGCATATTATTATATTTAAATGAGTTATCAAGTAAATAATGAAATTGAATTTATTTCAAATAACAACAAGTTTAACAATTTTAATAAACAATGTTTTTTTTCTATATTTTCTACATTTATTATTTGTAATATCACTAAGTTTCACTTTTGTTGTGGTTAACTTCTTGATTAATAAAGTTCATCTTTGTTTAATACATTTCTGAATTATACTGTCTTTGTGTGACTCCACACAAGCTAGATGCAACCACATTAAAACTAGATTCAACTTTCGAAAGCATAAGAATATAATAAACTAAAAAATATTAAAAAAACTGTATAATAGTTAATAAAATAAAAATAAAATAAAATCAATAATTTTAATTGTACTTCTGTTTCCAGAAGTTATTATTAATAGTGATATTAGTATATTGGTAGTTATGATGATAGTATATTGGTGTTAGTCGGACAACATGCTTTTTTGCGCATAGAATCTTTGTGCACGGACAACATGCTTTTTTGCGCATAGAATGATTTGTATATATGTTTTTATACAACTCATAATTTAAAATTGTGTGTAAACAATAAAAATAAGTGCAACATTTCAGTAGGGAAATCTTATTTTTTATAAATTTAGTATAAAGATATATTATTATAATATTTTATTGATATGCTAATCATTTGTTTACTAAAATGGTAGTTTAATAAAAAAATAATAAAGTTTGATAAAAAATAAATAATAAAGTTTGATAAAAATAGTACAATCATATTAATTTATTTGAAAAGAAGCTTAAAATAACAAATTATTGTCAGGTTTTATTCACTTAGACCTTGATTTTAAATTTCTCTATTACTTAAATTAAAATCACTTTTACATGAGCATACCCTTCAAGAAAGTTTTTACAGGTTGCATTTGCTAAGTGTTTATTAGTTGAAACAAAAATTAGAAATAGTTTGATAAAGCATCTCATAGAAATAAAATGATCAATTTAACTTTTTTCATATGTTTAGCTGCTCCCCTTTGTTATATATATGAAAAGCCTGAAGAACTTTACTTTGCTTTCCGTGAGCTATATGGCAGGTTTATTGTTTTTTGTATCATTTTTGATCTTTTTGTTTCCAAGCTGTTGCTGAAACTTATTATTTTCATTAATGTCTTTATGATGGCCGTTCATATATTTGTATATTGCTTTAGATATTTTATCAAACTGCATTCAATATCTTCAAACTCTCAGGTATTTTATTTATTAGGTGCAAGTGATAAACTATTTTATACATCTGTTTTAGTAATATTTTTATTAATTTTTTTTTATTTACTGTGTAACAGGTTTTATGTTCTCAGAGTTTTTTTTTAGTAAGATAAAGATAGTCTTATTTCATTTTTTAACTGATATCTATGTAAAAGATGCTAATGCAGACACAATCCATGATGCACAGTAAAAAAAAATTCTGAATTGTGAATTACAAAATTTTAAATTGCAAATTATATATATATATATTTTTTTTTTTTTGTTATTCACAACGCCGAGAAGGCCACTACAGTTGAGGAGGTGATAATACTTAATATTGGTTATAACCCTCTCTCAACTCTTTAACTCCGAAACACGAACCCTGACAAACAAGGCCGCTGCACGGAGAAACAGGTTGAGCGCGGTACTACCAGGGGTGTGGTGGGGATCGAACTCGGAACCTCTTGCTTATGAAGCAAGCATTTTACCGCTACACCACTACCACACATAGCTCTAAATTGTAAATTAAAATAATTTTTAGTTTTTTTATTCAAGAATTTTAAATATTGGCCATAATAATAATGATAATGATATTTGATTTTGTCTCTGTGTTAACAATTGTTACATTTGTACAAATATATGATGTTGAAGGCAAAATTGATATTGAATAAATGTGTTTTTGCTTTTTTTCTACCTGTGTGGGAAATTTTATGAATTGAACCTTTCTTCGGCAATCTTTGATCATGTGGTTAAATTTACCCTGATGTATTTTATGTATTATCCAAATTCACATTAATATATTTCATCTTTTACATTTTGGCTTTTTGAATTATTTTTTAATTTGTGTATAGATTAGAACTTGTATTATATATAGTCAAATACTTTTGCAAAATCTAAAAAGGTAATATCAGCACAGAAACCTCTTTAAAATTAGTTAATCTAGGATTTCTAGATGATTTATAGCACAGTTTTTTGCTTTTAGAAAGCCATGTTGTTCTTCGGTTATTGTCAACACGATGCTTCATTATCTTTGACAATATTTTCCTTTAACTTGCAAACAATTGAGGTTAACAAGATTAGTTTGTAGTTGTCAAACATCTTTTTAAAATAGCAGTGTAATATTTGTTTCAAAATTCTGGTAGTATCCTTGATTAGAGTGATGAAAAATAATGCATTCAGCACAATTATCAAAGGTAGTTGGGTGCACTTTGTCACTTACTGGAGATTTATTTACATTGAGTTTAATTAATTAGTTAACAATAGATTCAAATAAACTGTACTTGCTACACTTCTACATGATAGAGCTCCTCAAGATAATCGTTTATCAGGGATTATCTTTATCTGGAAATTATGGAATTTTGGATATTTCTATGAATTTTTATAAGTTAAAAATATTTTTTTTGACATCAAATAATTAAAACAGTAAAAGTATTGTACATCAATTATATTATGCTGTATTTTACTTAGGTGAGGCATTATTTGTACAAATATTTGTTCTTTTTTGTACAGATATATTTATAATTATAGGGGTTCCTAAGTGCCTAGACAAATTGGAGTAATTGCTCAGCTTTACGTGAATAAAAATTTTAGAAAAATCCCTAAAAATTTTATTTACGTAAAGCTGACCAAATACTCAAAAAACGCTGAGTAAAAGCAATTGCTTTTTTTTATTCACCCGGCCTATTAAAAAATGTATGTATTTAAATTATAAAATAAGTTTGCATTTTAGTTCAACTTTTGACAAAATAAAAATTGTAATTAAACAAAAAATACTGCTTTTCTACTTTGTTTTATTTTTATTTCAATTAAAATCTTTCATTTTCATTTACCTTGAAATCAAATTTATTTATACTACTTTCAAATTTATAAAACATGTAATAACCATTTATAAAACATATAATAACCAAATAAAAAATGTTATTTTTATTTGGTTATTATATGTTTTATAAATGGTTATATATAAAAGCATAGGTCAAGGCTTATAATACCAGGAGGGTATATGCCTCCCCCCCCCCCTTCCCACTTTCTGGAGAACCTTTTTTTTTTTAAATCCTAAATAAAGACTTTTTTAGAAATTGACAATTGCACCCATCCACTTCAAAACCCGTGTTGTCGGCCATGTTGATCTACATGAAAATTAATTGGAAAAAAATACTACAAAAAAAACTAAAAAAAACAATGTTTCCTCAAAGGGAAAAACCAAACATAACGTTTATTACTCTAGTTATTTGAAGGAGCTTTTTTGTTTGGTGTCATTTATTAACTACAAAAGCGTTTATCACACCAGTATTTATTTTTAAAAAAATCAAAGATCCAGAACTTACCTTCAAGAAAAAGAAATAGGGTTAAAAATTATTAATTTAAAAGTTTCTTGCTAAAGTTTTGATAATTACTTTGTTTTGGAATGTTTAAAGAATATGAAACTTATTTTTTAAGGATTATTTAAGATATGTAAACACTCAGCACTTTGAGATCACTTTAGTTATTTTGACTATTTCTTCTAAAAATCTAGTTTAATTTAATTTATAAACTCTATTTAAGTAAGTATTAAAATACTTTTCTTTTTTATAGAAAAATCCCTGCCAAAAATGTTCTTTTCAAGCACATGAGATATTCTTAAATACACAAAAAGTGTTTTTATTCCCAATGGTTGCATACTAACTGTCTTTGAGATTAATTGGTTTAAAAAATTGCACAAAGCAAGTACTCCAGTTCTGCACCACTACTTTATTGCTACCTCACTACTACCTCAATGCTACTTCACCACTACCTCATGGCATAATATTTGTTAATTCTTTAAGTAGTCTTTTTTATGTTTAGAGCATTTTGTCTATCAGCTCTCTATTTGAATCCTTGTTGATATCTAAAGAAGCTGCTCTTTTTAAACATTTGATGGATATTGGCAGTCCACCGTAAGCTATTTATTGTTATTTACATTTATATTTATGTATTTTATGCTAATATTTAATATCTTTAATAATTTAATTGTTATGAGTTTTTCAATAAGTTGTCGCTTAATTCAGTTTAAAACTAGCATTTAATTGGTTGATGTTTGTGTACTCTGGTTACCTATCGGCAGAGGAAACTCTACAACTTTGGGATATAATTCTTGGCTTCGATTCTCTGGATATTCTTGCAGGTAAATGTGTCTATTATTAAGTGTGCAATTACAATTTTTTGTGGAAAAGAAATAATTTCAAATATTTATATATACAAGTCTCTACAACAAAGTATTTGATAAAAAGTCTTAAATCACAATAAAGTTTTTAAAAAAAAAAATTAAATCAAAAAAGTCTTAAAGGTCATGTTAACTTAAGCAGTTACTTAATTTGTTTATTTTTATTCTGTTCATAATTGCACAGTCAGCAGTTTAATGTGGTTTAAAAAAAATTAAAAAATGAGTTTGAAATTTTTATTTCTAATATTGTTTTTGCATGTGTTTTGCATCCATGCATTTTTTGAAATAAAAATAAATATTGTGTTGAGTTGGATGCTCTGTCTAGTGTATAAGAATGGGAGAGGGGAGGGGGGCTTAGTATTATTTGTTTAACTGATTTTTTTGTTTTCATGTATTTTTTTTTTAGTAAATTATTCTAAAGTAATACTAGAACTAATTTACAAAAAACTTTAAAAAATTGAAATTCCAATTGAAATTTTTTCTATGTTTTTTAGCAAAAATGTTTATAAAAAGGTAAAAGAAAAAATACAAGTCTATAATTTTGAAGTTTGCATAAGAATTATAGCTCAAATAAATAGTTTTATCATCTGATATATAGTTACATTATTTCATACCGGGCAGTTTTATTGCAATTAATCTAAAAAAAACTTTTATTTAGTGGTGGCAGTAGCAATTTTTGAGTTTCGAAGAGAAAGCCTGATGAGTGCCACAAACTTAAAAACAGCTGAGGTAATAACTTAACAGGTTTTGTTTTTCCAACACCAGAAAACATCTTTGCTGCAAAGTTTTGGCACAGTTTAATTAATCTAAGTTTTACTGTCTTTTTGTTGTTCATTTTTATTTCAAATCTTGATAAACTTTAGGCCAAATTTATAAAGTTCAAACAGAATCTTCTGCATTTTTGTCAAATTTTTAAATTTTATTGATGAATTTCTCAGTAATAAAGGATTTAAATTAAATAGTTATATTCTCAGTAATAAAAGATTTACATTAAAATAGTTATATTCTCAGTAATAAAAGAATTACATTAAAATAGTTATATTCTCAGTAATAAAGGATTTACATTAAAATAGTTATATTAAAGTAAAAAAAGAATCTTCTTTAGAAGCTTCTCCAATTTATAAATGCCCTGTATATACCAATAGGTTTGTATATACCAAATAAAAATGCATAAATATAGAAGTCATTCATTAAATTCACATAAGCTCTTGCTTAGAATATCAGTTTAGTTTATAATTATAATAATTATAGTAAATCAGTTTATAATTATAATAATTATAATGTATCAGCTGAATAATAAAAGTGATGTTGAACAGTTGTATAAAAAAGCAAATAATAACAAAAACATTATGATTTTTCTATTGACTTTAATACATTCAAGTACATAAAAATACTGTTTAATAATTTGATTATATACAAAATATATTAACCAAATCCATGATTTTTAGTGTACAAAATATTAACTTTAAAGTTAAGCTTTTAAAAAAGATTTTTTTTTTCTGATTTCAAATTCACCCAATTGAAAAAGCTGTAATGCATTCTAATAGATTTATTAGCCAACACAACTTTATAATCTTAAATTTTTTCTAAACAACTTTCTAAATCTGAATGAGTACCTTAAATTCTTATAGTTTGAACAAATTGTATTAGATATTACTTCTGCTTTTAATTATGCAAGTTGTATTAACTATTGTTAGAACTTCATGATGTTAAAAATTGTTTAGTATGTTTATTTAATTTTACCAAAAAGAATTTTCGGAGTGTGTAGAAACAGTCACATGTTTAAAAAAAAAAAAGATATCTTGTATAATCTCATAAAAAGATGAGACTTAATTAAATGACGGATAACACAAGAATGAATTTTAGTATATAGCATAAAAGACGCAGCTCTTTAGAGCAGCGCCCATTATAGTATTTATAGAAAAGAGAAAGAGAAGTAATATTATGACAATGGCTGCAAGACCAGGTCTAACTATTTTTAAAAGAGAAAGGGTATCATTTGAAGATCTACTCCAGATATGGCATCAGTATTCCATGCAAGGATGGATTTGAGATTTATAGAGATAAATAACAGAATCCTGAGTAAGAAATGTGGCAAACACAATAGTGTTGCAACCTTAGCAGATGCTAATTTTACAATATATTTGATATATGGTTTCCAAGAAAAATGGGAGGTAAGAGTTAATCCTAGAAGACAAAAGGTAGATGGCTCAAATCATGCAGAAGGGTAGATGACTTAATAAATCAAGTAAATTACCATTCATAAATATAGGGTCTAGGTTATTGCTATAATGATTAGCTGAGTTTTATCTGAGTTAAATTTCACCATCAATGAGAGTTCCATGCTGTAGCAAAAGTGAGATCCTTATCAATCTCAAATGCCCTCTCCAAGCAATCATAAATTGTTGGATTCTTATCATGACAAAATTATTGGTAAGTAAAATAATTGGTAATTTCATCAGCTAACAATGCCACCTCAGATAAAAGTTTCGGGGAGATGGTTTATGTGAATTAAAAAATATATAGTGCCAAGGATAGAACCTTGAGGAACCGCTAAAGTTACAGAAAATGAAAAAAGTGCTGTCCATCGAGGACAACTTTTATACTATGATTGGTAAGAAAGGATTCAATAGTCTTAAAGATGTTACCTAATACACCATAAGAGCTTATGGAAAAAACCAGCATGCCAAACTTTATCAAAGACTTAAAAATGTTGAGAATCATAACCCTATTTTCTTTACATCTATCAAATGCATGATAAATCTATTGGTTATTAGTGTTAAGAAATCGGCAGTAGAACGAGATTGAAATGATGATTAGAAAGTAAGTTTTGAGATTCAAGACGAGAGATCAAGTGTTTGTTAATTAAAGACTCAAAAACCTTGGTTATGATAGAAAGAAGACTAATGGGACGGTAATTAGACGAGTCAGATTGCTCTCTTTAACAAGTTTGTTGACTTTAGACAAGTATGTTGTCCTGACCACAAGCTGTAACAAGACTTTAACAAGTATGTTGTCCTGACCATAAGTTGTAGAAGAGTCTAAGCAGCAAATCACATAAGACACAGCAGCTGAAGTGATACAAATGTCATGCAATCGATTAACCTGTTTATCGGCTATATCAGGTAGGATGTTTTTAGTGGAATCAAGAGATGATATTGATGAAAAGTTCAAACAATTCAGCTTTAGATGAAGTAACAAATTTTGTCTTTAAGTGAGGTAACAAAACCTGAACCATGCAAAAAGGTGCTGTAACAGGTTTGCCCCAGAAGTCTCGGGAGCCTAATTTTTGAGATAAAATACTAGATTTCGTGACCTGAGAATAGCGGGCTTTAGTGTTAGACAAAATCTTTTTCCAATTTTCTCTAGCAATAGTAAACAGTCGTCTGTTTTCTGGAGGATTGTTTTGCTGATAGAAATGAAAATAATGACTACAATAGGGAATTGCAGCAGCACAATGTGAGGAAAATCATGGAGAAGAGTAAGGCTTAACCTGGAATCTTCGAGAGGGAATAAAAGATTCCATGCCAGCCTGAATCCAAGAAGATATGTAAGAAGCATATTTGCCAGCAGGAAGACAAAAGATTTCTATCCAAGGGTTACCACAAAGAAAATCACGGAAAGAGTCCCAGTCAGCGAAAAGCGAGTTGGAAATAGGGTTTCTCAAACGGGATCCCGGGGATAAAAGTGGCAGCGGGATTTCCCGGGATATCACTCTTATATCCCGGAATATAATTTTTTTTTAAATAATTTTACATATGATAACTTTGAACTAATTCGACCAAAAATAAGAAAAATATTATTGCATTTAGTTGTGTTTTATGTGTTCATACCTTATATTAAAACCTAGCACAACAAGAAATGCTATTGAAACTATCTTAAACTAAAAAGAAATGCATTGCAATGCAATGTTTTCTTTTTTCTCATTATTATAAAATATGAGTAAAAAATAAAAAAGATTTCTTGCGACGAAAACAGTAAGTTTAATTTTTAAACTTCTAAATTATTGAAAAGTTAAACTTTTTCTGTATCAAATTATTGAGGATATAGAGGATGCTAGCCTTAGTTCATCAAATAATGAAATAGTTGAAGTGAGTCGTGATAATGAAAGCATGGTTTCTGACCCGTCAATACCTCAACCTGTTGCTCCATATTTATTAGGCAAAAGTATTTTGACGCTTGAACAAAAATTGGATGCGACTATTTGTAATGTCAAACAAGTAAAAAAAGCAGCTCTAGAAAACATTAGCAATTTAAAAAACCTCACAAAAGAAATCAAACTTTTTGAGGCAACTGGAAAGCGTAGCGAAAGTTTAGAAAGAATATACTCAACATTAATGACCATCAAGCCGACATCAATTGAATCAGAAAGGGCTTTTTCTGCCGCGGGTCTATTTATGGGAAAAATTCGTTCACGATTAAGTGACAAATCAATTGATTGTTTATGTTTTTTTAAACAATATTTCATTTTAAATAGTAATATAGATTAGCGTGCTAAGATAAATTTGTGTCAGAAACCGCTTGTTATTATATTAAAAATTATGCCGGGAAATCCCGGGAAATCCCGGGATAAATAAGTTACACACCGGGAATCCCGGGATGCTAAATTTACGGGAAATGAGAAACCCTAGTTGGAAAGTTGACTATTTGTAATAATTGAAATGCCTGCAAAGTCAAAGACATGCCTGCAAAGTCAAAGACATTAGAGTCAGACATTAGAATATAGATAAAGACATTAGATAAAGACATTAGAGAGACATTAGAGTATAAAAATGCCTGCAAAGTCAAAGACATTAGAGTCAAGCCATTCAGTGTGATAAGCATTAAAGTCACCAACAACAAGAATATTGGCTAAAGGAGAAAGAGCTTGGTTAATTTAATCAGAAATGATATAGAATGTAGTACAGTCTTTAGATCAAGGAGAACCATCTAGAACAAAGAGAAAATTGATAAAGCAGAGTTGTGCAAAGAATAAGTAGGTCTGGTAAACTTTGTAAGAGATAAGACTCAACAAAAAAAAAGTTATTTCGAAAACTACTAATATTAATGAATGATAGATTTAGAGAACTTGGCGATGACAATTGTTTTTGTGTTTCATAGTTTTTGGTACTTTAGTCATTTTTAAATTTGTTAAAGAACTTAATTCAAAGAACACATAGTATTCAGTACACTATTTAATAAAGAATATAAGAAGATTTATATATATATATATATATATATATATATATATATATATATATATATATATATATATATATATATATATACAGTGCTCGAAGTGAGGCGGGATGCCATCCCATCACCTTTTTATAAATTACAAACCATCCCGCCACTTTTATATAAATCTTTACATATAACAATGATTAGGCGGGATGTTATGCAAAAATTAGTTTTTGATTTGTTCCTCGCAATATCAGGTGGACAAATGTTCCAAAATCTACAGTCATGGATATTATAAATAAGTTCAAGACTACTCAAAGCTTCGAAAGAAAATTTGGAAGTGGAAGGAAAAAAACTTTGCATAAATCCAAAAAGATAAAGTCAATTTTACGTTCAATAGCAAGAAATGCAAACCAGTCACAGCGTGATCTAACAAGAAAATTGAAGACTTCTCTTTTTTATATCAAAAAAGTACTTAAAAATGCTGGAATTAAAGCATTTCATAAAAAAAAACACTTAAGAGAAGCTTAAATTGTAAAATTAAAGGAATTCGACGCGCAAAGAAGTTGATTTAAATAATGGCGGATAAAAGTATGTGCATAATTAAAGACGACGAAACATATTGCAAGGCGGATTTTTCACAACTTCCTGGTCAACAATTTTTGCTATGAGAACAAAGATAAACCTGTCAATAATCAATTTAAATATATTCGACAAGAAAAATTTGCATCCAAGTTCCTTGTTTGGCAAGCAATTTGTAGCTGTGATATGCAGTCCTCTTGTTTTGTCACTAAGAAGACCTCGACTGCCAATCTCTACATCAAAGAATGCCTCCAAAAAAGACTTTTACCATTTATGAAAAAACACAAATACCGATGTCTCTTTCGGCCTGATTTTGCTGCCTCTCACTATTCTAAAAAAGTTCTACAGTGGTGCAAAGATAATAATGAGAAAATTGTTCCTAAAGATGCGAATCCTCCAAATCGTCCTGAAGATGGTAAGATTGAAGATTTTAGGGCAATAATTAAAGGAGTTCTTTGTAAGACTGGTTGAGTAACAAATAGTAAAAAGGACTTTCAAAAAAAGTGGATTAATGTCACTAATAAGGTGAAAAAAGCTGTCAAATGATGGCATCAACCCACTATAAAGTTCGATCTCTTGCCAAACAACCCATCACCCCCCTTAAAATTAAGTTGAAACTCTAATTTATGTAAACACATTTAATAATAAAAAAATTGAAATAAAAAAGCATTTATGGTTTTAGAGAAATCTCAATTTCAAATCTCAAAAAAATCTCAAAGTTGACCGGATTTTTCCGTTTCCGCCCGATAGTATAATTTAAGGAGTTGTTTAAAAATAAAAAAAATAATAATAAAAAATAGTATAAATTAAGGAGTTGTTAAAAAATGCGCATTTGACCGCAAGTCGCACTAGAACTAAATTATTTTATCCATGTTCTGTAAAAAATTCTTTACCACTATTTTATTAAGACTTGCCCCTAAATAGGAAAACTCAAGCATAACTTATATAACCTTCTTTTTTGAGGCAAGGAATTAAAAAGTACTTTATTTAAATAAAAATTATAAAGCTTAAGAATTTCAAAAATTAGGAAAAAATTAGAATCAAACAATGTTTTTCTTCGTATAGGAATCTTTATAAACTGTTTCTGTTAAAATGTGAAACAGGAAATATTTAAGGTTAAAATTGGCCAGAAATTTAAGAAATTTCAGGTTAAAGCTTTGAAGTATATTTTTAATAATAGAAACAATGTATATTTCTAGATTTTGTTTTTAATAATAGAAACAATGTATATTTCTAGATTTTGTTTTTTTCACAAACTTCATTGCTAAACAAAATTAATAATAGAAACAATGTATATTTCTAGATTTTGTTTTTTTCACAAACTTCATTGCTAAACAAAATTAACGTCAACTTAATTCTAAATTTTTTTTCTAAAAGTGTTTGCTGTTGAAATTCGTTAAGCAGCTCGTGCATGGTCGTATCGATGGATCATACTATCTTTTAGATCTATAGTTTTACCTTTAAGAACATATAAATTATCAAAACTTTTCTATTTCTAATTTATTTCCATGAATCACTGTACCAAAGATTTGTTATTTGTCAATAATCTTAAAAAAGGTAAAAAATTCTTATGCTTGTTAAGTTTTGTTTGATGTTGAAAGTTCACAAACATTCCTCTTGATGAAACTGTATTTCGTTTGTTTATTTCACACAATTCAATCTTAATACTCTTAAATTATAAAGTTATTTGATTTTTCAACTAAGCTTACACACTTTCTGTACATCAATGAATCATTTGACCAAGTGGACAGAGTCGCCATGGTCTCCCACTTCAGAGTCGCCATGATCTCCCACTTGAACTAACTTTATAAGTCATGAAAATAGTTTATTAAAAAACAATTAATGTAAAAAAAAGTTGATTATATCTTTTGGATCTTAAACAATAATGATAATGCACTCAGTTATTTAGACTGTATAAACAACATTCTAACCTTAAACTTATTAAACAATAACGATGGTGCACTCAGTTATATAGACTGCATAAACAATCAACATTCTAACCTTAAACTTATTAAACAATAATGATGGTGCACTCAGTTATCTAGACTGCATAAACAATATTTTAACCTTAAACTTATTAAAGAGAAAGAAATCGATCGCAAATTGATTTCTCTTGATGATATGAATAATTTTAAAAATAATTTGGGTTCGAAACTTTTGCGTTCTTTAAAACAAATTTTAAACTAATTTTTGAAGTTGTAAATTTGATAAGGTCTTCAAAAATAATAGTACTTGGTCAAGTTTTCATTTTGATCTTGAAAATGTTCAACAAACTTTTCAAAAAATATTTTTTCATTGTATTGGCAAAACAAACCCACACTACTCAAAACTATCTCTATAACTGTGAATACACATTTCTTTAAACTTTCCTCTTGGTCTATTCAAATACCCTCTAACATCAGTTTAATTAATTTATTAGTATTAGAAAGACAACATCAATGATATAGATTAGTTCTAGTTCCTTTTAAAATTGTCACTTTAACCAAAAGACCCTTACCTAAACAAATTTTTTTTTTTTAATTATTAAGATGAAATGTTGATTTCTTTTTTTTTATATCTTGATGTATAATTTTTTTTTAAATTTGTGGTTGTTTCAGGCAATTCTAGAGGATATTAGCACGATTAAAGTTGTTCCCTTGCTTGTTCAGTTTTTTGGGTATATTTAAAAAAGACGCAATTTTCTCTAAATATTTTTTAAAGCGTTTATGCAATCTTAGTGATTTGTGAACGGACGTAAATGCACTGATCTTAAAAAGGTCTATGATGATGTAACAGTTCCATCTCTGTTTTTAGCATGTGCCGTATCGGCATTTTTTATTGTAGTTGTATGTATGTTTTTAAAATTTATAGTTATGTGAAAATTAATATACAATTTAAAAATACATTTTCCGAATCAATTTGTAGTAATTAATTAACGAATTTATAGTAATTAACTAACGAATTTTTTAGAAGACTGCCTGAGCGAATTTTATAACTTAATGGTTATGATGTGACTGAAGCAAGCCTGCCAAATTTGAAATCTTGGGTGCAAATGCGAACTGAAATATTTTGAAAGAATATTTTAAAAGCGTTAAACAGTTTTGAATTTTTATAATAAATGAAATTTGAAAAACAAAGCCTTTTCAAACCAAAATCTAAAATAGATGTATGCGCTTTCCGCATTTGTCTCTACCTATGAATTGTTGTAAGTATTTTATTTTTTTCATTAAAGTTGACAAATTTACGCAGATTTACACTTATAAATATTGAACTTAATCAATATCTGATTTTAACAAGTCTGGAACAGATTTTTTAGATGTTGCTAAAAATTTTCTTAACGCGTCATAATCGCAACTATTTAATAAATTTTGTTACATTTAGTATTCAGACTCAGTTGTTTTTCAGCCTTTAAATGATATATTAAAAGGGTGATCAGCTGCTGCTAGTTACATCTGGTTTAGTTTTCATTTGTTTACACCTAAAATTTCATTTATTTTTAACGGTTCCCAGGATAATATGCTAAAACTGATACATTTGTATATTCTATTTGATATTGATACAAAATTTGTTTATTCTATTCATAGGTTAGGCTAATAACTAAGTGCGGCCGTGGCACAGTGATTAGAACGCTTGCTTTATAAGCAGGAGATCCAGGTTCGAAACGAGCTTTGGACATAATTTCGAAGGAGGCGTGAACTTCCTGGTTAAATGCACTTCCGCGGTGCTCTGTGACAAGTGCTCTGAAACATTTAATAAGTAAGAAATGTTTTTACATTGCTCGAGTAGATTTTTTACAACTTTAACGCATTAATTTGCTTACAACTAAACTAAGCTAAAAGGGTACCATGAACAAATATGGCCTAATGGGCATGTTTGTTGGTTCCTTAAGATTCTATTCTAAGTGTTAATTAAAATTCTATCCTAGACCCAATAAACAAATATGGCACAGCTGTAACATATTCTTGCCATTTTGTGTCCATGCCTAGACTACTAAGCGTAGAATGTATACTATTACGCGTGCACAATTCAATTGTGCTAAATTTACAATTAACCAACCTTGAAAAACCTTCACGAGTTATAGTAACTGCCAGTATACCAAATAATAACAGACACTTTTCAAAATTGGCTTAATTAAAATAGGCTTAAGACAATTTCTTTCAGATAAAGAAACAAGTGATTGCATAGGCTTTGCCAAAAGATTTTAGGTCTTCTTAATTAAGTAGAACAAAATAATAAAGACAGGACTTTGAAAATATTACACAAAAAAGTCAATGTAAAAGTGGCCTACTATTGGAATAATGAGATATCGATAAAAATGGTAGATAAAATTTGTTTACTTTTTTTATGTCCTACAAACGGTAACAAACATTATTCAAACTAATTGTAAATTATTATTGTTAAAAATATCTGAAGAAGTAAATTCAGCTGGTATTTATACAGTTACTATAGATACAACTATGAATATATCTAACCATGATCAATTGTATTTGTTTTGCAGTATAATATTGACAGAACTGCGACCAGGTCTATAGTTGAAGTTGTAGAACGAGTTGTATCTTTAAACAACGTGATTTCATCTTCATTTAATTGATTTATTAAAATTAACTTTAAATTCTATGAACCTTAGTTTAGATAATTGTGGAGTAGATGCTTTTGATGGTGCTACCAATATGAATGACAAATATAAAGGAGTTCAAGCGAAACTCAAGCAAGTGCTCCTAAGGCATATTCATACACTGTGCTACGCTCTTGTGTTAAATCTAGTTTCACCACAAACTACTTCTTGTTCAGTTACAGTTATTTTTTTGGACTTCTTCAAAAGTTGTTTGTTTTTTTCAAAGAATCTTAAAAAAGACTCAATGTTTATGATAATCATAATTTGATAAATATTAATAAAACTTGATGGCGGTCTAAAAATAATGTCGTTATTAAGATATTTGGTCGTGCGATATGTGAAATAAAAGAACCAAGAATGATGACAGAAAACAGTTTTTATATGTGTAGATTGTATTTATACTTTATGTCTCATCACAGAGCACCGCGGTTGAGCATTTAATCAGAAGTTTACGCCTCCTTTCTAACCGAAGTCGCAAAAATTACCCAGAATGGGGTTTGAACCAAAACTTGCCTAGAGGTGGGGTTCGAACTGTGAAAGGAAATGGTTGGCAGACATTACACCGGATCAAGTCATCGATTTAATGTGTGAAAAAAGTATCGAAATGTTAGTTTAGTTTTTAAACATTTTATTGAACTGTTTCAACTATTTATATATTATTTCCTCTGTATTGAACTATTTTTCATAACTATTCATATTTTATAATTTATTCTACGCAATCAAGATCACTTAAATAAAAATAATTATGTTAATACTGTTGTGTATTTATTTATTTTTATAGAACTTAAATTAAAATGTAGATTTGGTTTATTATTAAGGTTCATGTTAATTGTGTAGTTTTTTCTTAGTGTAAGAAATGGGTTGATAACCTGGCTTTTATCATAGATATGCATGAAACCCATTGCTATTAGTAAGTTTATTGTATATAGTAAGTGGGCCCCAATTATATTCACTTTCCCGGTTGGGAAAATGAACCCAGTACGCTCCTGCTTCCCTTGATTCTCAACCTAATATTTTTCAAAATATTTCAAACAAAAAAATTCTTAATTAATTTTTAATAACTAAGTTTAATTCAGGAGAGTGATCTGACTCGTCTAACTACCGTCTCATTAGTCTACTTTTTAACATAAACAAGGTTTTTGAGTCTTTAATTATCAAACACTTAATTTCTTATCTTGAATATAATGACTTACTTTCTGATCATCAATATGGATTTCGATCTAATTGTTCCTGCTGATTTATTAAGACGGTACACAACCAAATATTCTTATTACTCTTTGCTTACGGTCGCTTAGAAAGGATTTCACCCATTTCAGAACTTGACCATTGATCCCGTATTAAACTCATGTGGTGAACCTTGTCAAAGGCCTTGGTAATATCAAGGAAGAGCAAGTCTACAGGCAATCAATTAAATGATGCTTTTGTTAAATAATCCATAGTTTCGATGTGGTTCGTAGAGCATGACCTTCGGGGAACAAAACCATGCTGTTCTTGTGTGATCAAATTGCTGTCAACTAGTTGCGCTAGGATGGCTTGCCTAACTATATTTTCTTGTAGTTTACATGTAAAAGAGGTGAGACTGATAGGTAGATAATTGCCCGGGTTGGTGGTCAATTCTTTTCTGAATATAGAAGTAATGTTTGCTACTTTCTATGCTGTATGATTTGGATTGAATTAACACATAGTTTATTACAAATCGACACAGAGGTATTGTAAGCATCATTAACATTTTTGTTGGCTAGTAATTGTGTCTAATCAATATTTGATAGTTTAGCGGACAGCAGTGAAGTCACTTTTTCTGTAGTTAAAATTGGAGCTGGTGAATTTATTTTTCTAATTGGTAGGAAGACTATTACTCCAGAGTTGATTTAAATGAGATTGGCGGGCTACACCCAGTAGGGGCCCCGGTCTAATAATTAATACACTGAGAGGATTTTTGCTTATAATATAGTCTGTGTGTTTTTTTATTAGCCATTGTAAAAGTAGGAAAGGGTACTTGTTGAGATAAAAACTCGTCGGCTAACATGTTGATGAAAAGGTGACCTTGGATATTATCTGGTCCGAGAAAATAAAGAAATTATATTATCAAAAGTAACATAAGAAATTAACATATTTATTCATTTAATTATTTCAAATTATTATGTGTATTTATTTATAAAAAATTATGTTTTTATAAAGTGTAACTATAATGTCATATGGTTAGTTATTATATATGTGACAAACATTTTTCTTTCAAATAATACGAAAAAAAAACCGTTTAAACAGATGGAAAAAAACACATTAAACATTAGTTCTAATTGTGTTAATAATGTATAAAATAGTATAAAAATTCACTCCAGGATCCACTGGTACTGAGAGTAGTAGCTCTCCAATTAAATAAAGAAACAGCAAAGAATTTTGATTAAAAAAATGGCCAGTTTTTGGTCCAGGTATTTATTCAAACGCAACAAAACTGTTACATGATTGGTGTGGAGAAATCTCACAATTTGAGTTGATTGCAGCAAATGATAAATTGAAATCTTTTAATATTAGCCATCATTGGGTTCAAATAGTAAAAAATGAGAGGAAAAATTTAAAAATCCCAGTTGAATAGTTAACACAGTTAAAAATGTAACAATAATTGACTTAAACAAGAAAGAAAAAAAAAAATTATCGTCTAAAGAATATCTGAGTCAAAAAAAGAAGTAACTTTTAATGAAAACGCAGAAGATGAGCTGACAGTTAAAAATATTTTGTCTTTTATTAAAATAGCTGAAGTGAATAGCTTTTTGTTAAATCAATAGCGCTCTATTGATTTAACAAAACCTGATTCTATCTTTGTTGAACTCTGTGAACCGAATCTACAAAATCCAATACTTTTAGTAGCCAAAAATATAAGAAACAACAAGGCTCATAAATAAGAAATCATCAAGCCCAGATTAAGCAGAAAAGCAATTGCACTATCTACTTCAAGAGAAATAATTAAATTCAAAATTAAACTAGCTTTTCCTTTTTAATTTGGAATTTTTCAAAATCTAAAAGTTAAAAAACAAACAAACATATAATTTAGATTAGGGCTGCTAGTTCAAACATGTTCAAGTTCGAACGTTCGAATTTTACGCAAAAAATTAAACGTTCAAGTTCGAATTTTTTTCTTCTAATAGTTCGAACTTTTAAATTTTAAAAAAGGATATGTCTTTTCATTAATTTTTGTGAAACAAACTGAAATATAAGTAAAAATTATAAATTTGAATATTTTTGCTTTTTTTTGTTTTGTGTTTGCCTAGAAACTCTAAAAAATGTAATCAAAATTGCATCACCTGTAGCATCATCGC